TCTTATTGACATGGCACTACATATATTGTGAATTCCAAAACAATATAAATTCATCCCTCAACACATACTTACAAATGTGAGTTAAGAAGTCTAAAGGTGATAATTTCTTATATTATTCTACTACCTTCCAAACCATTAGGAAAAAAAAAAAAAAGCTTTAAAGGATGAGTATATACATTAAAAGTATAATTTAGACATTAAAATTAATAAATTAATAATAATAAAAATATATTTTTCTAATAGCATAAATGTTGTGGATTTTTAAAAAATTGGAAGGACTCAAACACAAGCTTGATAAAAACCCACATATGTAAAGAGTTACACTTACTCCACTTAGTGATTCTTAATATATGCAAAAATTATTAAACATATTTTAATAATTTTAATTATTCAAAATTTGAGAACTAAAATTAAAAGTTCAAAATGACAATATTAGTAAAGGGGCTTTACATTTTCATTCACAAGATCACTACAGTGTAAAAAAATATTATATAATTTAAACGATATTAAATAAAGTTAAATTATTTTATATTTAAAATCTTCTCATGTTGAGATTACAAAATATGAGACTTTTTAAATATTTTCTTTTTTCAAAATAGTCTAATAACAAGTTAACATGAATTTCAGCCACCATATCCGGCCGGCTTTTGAAAGGAGTTGAACTCGAAATTTGGCAGATAATCTAAATTCAATGGTCAAGTCCTATTCGGGACTGCATTATTGGGGCTAAGGAGATGATAAAATGGACAACACACTTTGAAAAGTGGAACTAGGGCACTGTAGGGCCATATGGTTCACAGCACCATAATGCCCCTACCAAAAAGCAATGGAATGGACCACACAAAAAGCCACAATTGGTGCTTATAGCCAAGCCACCAGCCACTGTAGCAAAGGAAATGCGTAATTTCGTCGCCTCTGCCCCCTCATTTAATATTTTAACCAATGAAAGTTGTCCTACACTTCCCCTCTTTCCTTTTTCATCGTGCTTTTCTTTTGTCCCCCACCCTTCTTTTTTTGTTGTTGTTGCTATTTTAGATATATATGTAGAGAGGGCTAGCTCAGTGGCTCTGCTAGAAAAAAAAAAAAAAA